TCAATCTGAAGAAATTTTACTAAGTTCATCAAATACCATTATAAGTAGATGAATTGGTAGCAATTTTTTATATTCAAGTAATGGACCAAGTATTTCTTTTTTCACTTTTGTAGCTTTTTTTCAGCGAGCTTGTGCTTTATGACTTTTCGCATTTGAATCTTGTGTAGGAAATAAAGATTCAGACTCAAATAATTTAGAATGTGTGATATCTTCTTGAATAATTATTCTTTTATTTTTTTTTCTCTCTTGTTTATTCTTTTTCTCAAGTTCAGCATACATATAACAGTTTATATCTTGAGCACCACATTCAGAAGTTATACAGAACTCTGTTCTACACACATCTTGCCTAAGTATTGCTTTAAAACGTGATTTTTTGGACTTATAACAGGCAAGAATTAGTTTAACACCTTCCCCATTGGCTTTTGGTGCACCTTTAAATAAATTATGCATTGCGAAATTTTCATTTTTAAATGAATATATTAGTTTCGCTACTAGTAACCAAAGAGAGTCTTTACGAGATTGGATAGAATGAGTACTTCGATTTACTACCACATCATCAATATATTCCACAATAAACATTGATAAACATTCTTTTTTACTTTGAGCTACTTTAATTTTTAACTCATAGTTTCTTTATTCATAAGGTTTCTAAAAATGTTTTGCTTAACGAATTTTACACTATATGTTTCAAGTGTTTCATCAAAACCAAGATAGTGATCTTTACACATGAGATTTACTGAGCAAACTATCTCCAACAGTCTTCATAGCTGCAAATCATCATGAACTTGTACCAAAAAATGCACAGTAGAGCTTGCATACTTTATTTTGCTAGCTGCAGGAAAAAGAGGTACAAAGGTATCTAAATTAACCATTTGCATTTTGTAGTTTCCCTTTCTGATTCTGATTTTGTGCCCAATAAAGTATCCAGTCCAGCAAAAAAAGAGATACCATATTTTCATTAAATTATTATTTTCTTTTAAGATATCACACATCGAATTCTATTGGTCTTTGACACACTAACTTAAAGCGATTCCTACTGCAATCCAGATTATTTTCAAAACTCAACATATTGCTTAGTAATCGATTACATGTTCAAATTTATCTAAGTATCATATGCCAAGAGTAGCTGCAAGATTAAATATTCCATATCTAGAAAATAGTATAATCAATATGCTATACATATTCTTGGATGTGTGTCATTGCCCCAAAATAAGGTAAGTATCTGAATATTTTTCTTTGTAAGAAATCAGTTTTTCAAAAATCGCTTGATCACATGCAATATAAAGACAATTACCCTCACAAATAGACAAATCTTTGTGGTACATTTCACATGAAGTGTGGACATTATTATCATAATTTGGTGGGTCACCAGGTTCTAATATTACAACATTCACTGGAATATTGGAACCTAATATATTTTTTTTGTAATTTCTAAATGTACATCTTCTATTTCAAACTCATTTTTGTTTTTTTCTATTATTGTATTAAAGATAGTTTCGTATTGTGTTAGAAGATCATCAGTAGTTGTTGATTCTCCAAATATTAATTGATCAGTAAGTTTGTTGTTAGTAATATTAGTTAAATTATTAAGTGTTGTAGGAAGGGTAAATTGAAAAACCATTCGCAACATTGCATGAGAGGTCTTACATCTCACATCAAAAATATTACTTGCTACAAAGGTGGATGCTTTAAAATCGATGTTATCAATGACCACCAAATTCCAAATATTTTGCTCTTTAATAAGTCTTTCTACAAGGTTTGCTTCAAACATTCTTAATTTTGTAAGCCGATTTTCATGTGTAAGATACAATATTCACTAAATAGAGAATTTCACATAGTATTGGTAATAATTTTGAGTTCTGACATAATGATGATATAACATGCATAAGCCAGATTTTCATTCTAGGGAATTTCATTGTCAACAACATAGAAGTAAATAAGATAAAGACTTTTGTTATGTAATTTGTATCAAGCGATTTTAAAGGAAGCCCACATTGTTTCCTTTTTTTGTTAACAACTGATTGCTTTTTTTGATGGATTGTTAATATTAGAGATTGAAAGAAGTTACTGGCACTGCATTGAAATACTTTTCTTATGATTCTGAATTTTCTAACTGATTCCTTTTTGTTGAATTTCGGGATATGAAAATAAAATCTTTTTTTCCATTTTTTCACCTATATCTGTCGCTTTTTCTGATGTGATATTATATAATTTTTCTTTTAATTTACTAGGATCAATTTTTACTATTTTCAATATTGTTCTAACAAGAAGACTACTAGGAGGATCTACTTCTATTTTTTTATTTTTTTTGTTATTTGCAGATTGAGTGGGTTTCAACAGTAACAAAATTTGTTCTTTTAATAATTTTTCTGGTAATTTACTAGGATCAATTTCCGTTATTTTCAGATCAGTTTTAACAAGAAGGCTACTAGGAAGTTCTTCTTCAACTTCTTTACTATCTTTTTTATTGTCATTCAAAGATTAAAGAGTTGGCATCAATAGTAATAGAAGTTTTTCTTTAAATTTTTGATCACAGGATTCCCCTACTGACATTATCCATCTTCCGATATCAGCCAGAGCATTGCTTGTGTCATCTTGGTGTTTCCCAAGTTCAGTACATGGTACGAAAACTTTACCTTTCCCCGGTTGTTCATACAAATGTTCGCCCTGCTTTTGAAAACATTTTGTGCATATATAACATGCACGATATCCTGATGATGATTTATGTGCAACAAATCCCTTAATAAATGCTAGACATTTAAAAATGCCAATGCAAGATATTTGAACATTGCTTTTATTAATTTTAAATAAATGCTCTTTACAGCAACCTCCACGACTAAAAAAACATTTTTTTTTCAGCAGAAAATACAAAAATGGAAACGGGAATTGCTTTCTTTAATCAGATTTTGTTGTTTTACACCACTACTGTGTAGTTTATTCTGATCTAAGGTCATATGTGAAAAGCATACCCCAAGTTGGTGAAAGCTATTACTATTGGCTGTATCGGCGTCTATTTCCCAGGTTCCTGTCAATTGCTGTAATCGTCGTAATTTTATTTCACTATTACAGCGTTTTACCTCGCCGTCGATAATACCTATGACAATGCATGGTGTTAAACTAGAACCTTGGATGGGGGCATGTTCAGGTTCAACATTTATATCGTTATTATCATTATCGTCATCAATACTTTCATTGTCATCATCGATATTTTCATTATCTTTACCGATATTTTTATCACTATCTTCATAATTATCATTTTCTTCAGAGTCATTATCATCATAATCATTTTCATCATCATCAAGTAGGAGCCATGCATTTTCAAGAGCATTTTCAAGAGCGTCATTAACTTCATCGGCAATGAAATTATCTTGGCTGCTTTCTCCAGAAGAACTGCATTCAAAGTTACTGTAAATAGATTCAGAATCGCACATTTTGCCTATTGTATTTTTGTCATGAACAACACTACCAGTTAGATTGAATTTATTTGGTAACGGATAAGAATTGGACAATTATAACTATTATAGATCACGAAGAATATTTATTTTGAGGATTGGAGGATAGAAGACTAAATATAATAGACTCTGACAGCCCCAAAAGGTATAAACGATTTTATTATTATTAATTATATTTATTACTTTATGTATTAGAACACTTAAGTACTTTATTACTAAGGTTGTTTTCACTTAAAGATACAAAAGAATTTCTTGCTTCTATTTATAATAAAAAAAAACCAGAAAAATCATTACTAAATTTGGTTCATAAATTTATTTGCAAAATTTTTTTTATGCCTTTCTTAGAAGGCTTTCTTTGTCTGGTAAATGGCCTTTCAATGGAACCCTATTAAAAATTGTTCTAAGATTTTATGGTTCTACTAGGTCTTATCAAAATCCTGATATACAAAATCTGATGTACAAAATCTCAACATCAAAAATCTTGACACTGCTAATATTCTAATAGTAACAGTAGTACTGTTAGATTTTGGTAGTATCAGGATTTTGATGTCAGGATTTTGTGTGTCAGGATTTTGTTTCTGATATAGAATGTTTCACTAATATGCAATTTTGATGTCAGAATTTTGTGTATCGGGATCCCGACACTGCCAATATTCTAACAGTAGTTTGTTAAGATTTTGGTAATGTCGGATTTTGATGTTGAGATTTTGTATGTTGGGATTTTGTTTATAATATAGAATGTTTCACTAACATGTAACAATATGATATATTTTTGAGATTCCACTAGGTTTTATTAAAATCCTGATACACAAAATTCCGATATCAAAATCCTAACATCAAAATCCCAATATCAAAATCCTAATACTACCAATATTTTAACAGTAACAGTCTGTTAAGATTTGGTAATATCAGGATTTTAATATTAGGATTTTGTGTGTTGGGATTTTGTTTTTGATATAGAATGTTCTACTAACATACAACAAGTAGATCACATTTCTATTTGTCACAAGATTGTGACTCGGACTCATAAGAGTAAGTATGATGTATTTTTGATTGTATTGATCTGATTGTTTAAGTGATTTGTAAGTATGAGCATTTTGTAAGAATGATGAAAAATATTGATTTGACTAATTAAGTATGAGGTCATAGTAAATAGCTATTTTAAAAAAAAAGAGTAGAAAATTGTTTTTTCTCTTTTGTTTTTACTGCTAGGTTTATCTTTGTCATTTGTTCCCACCCATCCATCACTAGTTAAGAGTTTTCTGGAAGTTGTGGGTGTAGTTAAGAGCCCGAGTAGACAGCCTGAATATCGAGGATGATGTTTTGATAGCCTGATTGAACAGCCCAGATGTCAAGAAAGAAGTAGTAAATAGAGCATAATATTAGGAACCGGCTGTAGACCACGTGAACAATGAGGCGAAATTCCATATTGTGTATTCCACAGTCATGTTTGTTTGTTGTATGTAGGGTTGAGTGACATATTTATTTAATCATTTTTTTTGCTTTGTTGTATCTGAAAGATCATACTAATTTACTTTGTTAAAAAACCTAGACTAAGTAGATATGCGTTTTAAATGTAGATGTTAAATTACTAATTTCAGCAGAGATCGCTCTTGTTATTTCTGATATGTCCAACTGTTCAACTCCATCAAGCATTCTAAGATTAACGTTGTTCTACCATCCACAGCAGTCTTGGTAGCAACAACTTTGGGTTTTTCATTTTTTTAAAATCTTAGATTGTACACTCCCAAGCACAATTGATAATTTCGGCTATCCACTTATAACAACTACGTTGAAAACTTTTATTAGTTACCTGATCTTCCAACTTTGCACTTTTATCAGGATTACCTGTCTTGGCTAAACTTGTATCTGTATTAGTACCTCATACTCATTCTTTTCGATACTATTCTCTTGATAATCACGATTAAGATTATATATTCTTCTTGCATTTCAACATTGTTGATTTTTGACAATAAATAAATACATCGTATGATAAGGTATATTTTCAGAATTTAATTTTGCTATTACATTTGATTCTTCATTATCCTTCTTAGGAATTTGGTGTTATGATAGAGAAGTTAAATTTTTGTTGCATCAGTAATAAGAATGACACTAAAATCCATACATGATACAATATGCTCTTTTGTTTGATTCGGCAAAGATCTACATGAATATTTTGTCCACTAAGATGAGTATATTGTACATTTAATTTGATTTCATTCTTATATTAAAATTTATTGAAATGGACTATACTGATTCTCGACTCTTATTCGGTATGCTTTATATTATACATCAAACAAAGGTATCTGTAGTATTAATGATTAAAATGGGTATTTTATCAGAAATAGTTGGTTCCTTGTATTACCATAGTTGTATGCTTCACTTTCAATTGATTATTTACTCAAGTCCACGAGTAATTCAATTTTGTCTGTCATTTGGTAAGTTTACTAGTCAATTTTTTTTTAATCAATATCTGATATTAATTATTTATTTAAATCTGTAAGCTATTCTCTATTTTTATCTGTCATATTGTAAGTTTCTCCTGGGTATCTTTGATACATGTATGCTGATTATATTTATTTATTTATTATTTATTTTTTAGCAAAATTAGTACTTAATTTCAGTGTACTATCTTAGTTCTAGACTGAAGATTGAAATTTCGATTCTAGCAATGGTATGGTAATTTCGAATAAAAAATTCATTAAATTTCACTTTTCACAATTTGATCATTCAGATTGATAACTTTATTGGATCAGGTTTTTCATACCTATATATATAGGCCAGGCAGATAACTTACTACACGTCAAATATTTTAAAATTATAATACATTTCTGTATTTATAATTATTTATTTATTATAAATAAAGGATTTTATTAAATATTAAATAGTTTATATAATAAAAATGATTTTTATAGGGTGTGGCGACTTAGTGAAGTGGTGGAGTTGTTACACCTCCAAACAGCAGGTCTAGAGTTCGAATCCCACGGATGACGATTTTGAAAAAACTAGATCTGTATCGGTTAACGT